TGGGGGTTGAGACTGCTCCCAATCCTTAACACTCGGCTCGGCTCGGCTCCTTCGAGTCGACCAGTACTTTGGACAAATCCCCAACTGGCCCACTAGAAGGGCTTTCCTGAATCCGAGGATCCATATTATCCTCTGTTGGGCCAGGCTGTGACTCGATCCGGCTGATCGCCATAGCCTGTCAAGGAATACCATGCGAGATGCCATTCCCTCTATACACCAACTGCACTGCTTTTATGTAACAGTCGTGAGATGTGCTTTGAGATTCGCTAACTTCCCCTATCCCCGTCGGGGTGGGGAACTTCATCTTCAAATGGTATATAGAAGTGACTACCTTGAAGTTTCTCAACAATGGTCTCCCCAAGATCTCATTGAAGGCAGATGGGCAGTCCACAACCAAGAATTCAGTAACCTTAGTCACTTCGTCATAGTCACCCAGCGTGACTGGGAGTTAGATCGTTCCCTTGGGGATCATGTGGTCCCCTGTAAAACCATAAAGAGGGATCAAGGCGGGCTTCAGGTCAGCCTCGTCCAAGTTCATTCTTTCGAAAGCGTCCTTGAACAGGATGTTCACAGCGCTTCTGTTGTCCACTAGCATTCTGCGGACGTTATAGCGCCCTATGAGGGGCGTGATTACAAGGGCGTCATCGTGAGGATGATGCAAATGAGCTGCATCCTTTTCAGAGAAGGTGATCGGCTCCTCCTTGCGAACCTTTTGTGGGTTCATCACCCTAATTAGGTCGTGATGAGCCTCGCGGACATATCTCTCTTGGGCACCTCGTGTGATCCCCGCGAGGTGCGGCCCTCCAAAGATTATGTTGACAATGCTATACCCTTTGCGATCACGACGCTTTTTTCCTTGCTCCCCTTGACTTTTCTCTTGCGCGGGAGCAAAGTCATCAATATACTCCTTAAAATGCCCCTTCTTAATGAGCTCTTCGATTGCTTGCTTTAGAGCTCGACACTCATCTGTATGATGCCCATTGTCCCGATGAAAGTGGTAGTACTTTTTACTATTTCTGGCTGTCGCGGGAGTTTTCAAGGGCTCGGGTTCTCCGAGTAGGCTGGCCTTCTCATATTTATCAAGAATAGTCGATACAGATGCGTTTAGTGGAGTATATTGGTTTCTGTCACGATCGTGACGAGGGACGAGAGCATATGACTTTTTGGGCTCGTAACGAGGTTTCTTCCCTCTTTGCTAATTGTCAGCGTCCCCCCTGCGATCAACTCTTCTACTATCCCCCCGACCAGGTGCACTGCTTGAAGCGTCGAGGTCGCGACGGTGGAATACTCCCAATGAATTTTCTATCCGGAGGTACTTCTCCGCAAGGTTATAGAATCCAGTAAGGGAAACATCGTCCTCAGCCTGTAATTCTTTTCACAGGTCGGTTTGTGGACGAACTCCAGCTATGATGAGAGTCTGAACAGACTCTTCGGGAGTATGAGTCACCTTGTTGAGTTCTCTGTAGAAACGGTCAATGTAAGACTGGAGGGATTCGTCCCTTTCTTGCCTTATATTGCTAAGGTAACTTAAAGGCATCGAGAACTTTTGATTTGCTTGAAAATGCCTTAGGAACGTCGCGCTCATCTGAGGCCACAAACTGATTGATCCCGTTGGGAGCGACCTGAACCACCGTTTGGCATGAGAGGTCAAAATCACTGCCAAACAACGACATTTTGCTAGATCTGAGACCTGGTGAAGCTCAATCAGGTCGTTAAATTCATATAAATGATCCTGCGGATCAAAATTTCCATCAAACGCCCGCATGTCGGGCATCCTGAATCCTGGTGGGAGTGCAATGCCTAACACTTCGAGAGAGAAGGGGGACATAGATGCGACCTGCCCCTGTTCATTTTGCTGAGCTCTTAGTCTGTCTAGAGCTTGCTACAGCTCCTCAATTTGAGGCAATGGAGCTGCTTGGGAATTGCTTTCACCTATGCGAGTTCGACTCTCGCGGTTACGATTGAGGAAAGTCTTGAGGTCGGGTTCCTCTTTGCCTCGGTCGACGGTTCTGACCACTCTCGACACACGCTGGCTAGAGGCGTGCGATGAGGTGCAAGGTATTTTCACGACCTTCGCGGTGGTAATAACCGCCCCGTGAAGTGTGGGACCCTCTTGCACTTTTATGGGTGTGTACTTGTGAAGTGGCTTGGGATAGTTAGGGCTGCATCTTTTCACCGAGTCTCAACAAGACTGGTATTCTGTTTGGGACAGCTAGGGCTGCATCTTTGGAGCCCGTGTGCTTGTTTTTTGTCACTTGCTTACCCTTTCGTCTACGCGCTACAGAGCTCGCAGCACGAGCTATTTCCCTTTGCCGTGCTTTCGTGCGACCTGCAGGCGTTTTTGGTGGTTGCACCACCACAACTAACTTGGATGGCATGCCTTGGTCCAAACGGTCCAACCTTCGGTTGACCATCTGGAGAGTATTGTCAAACCTCTCCAGGTAGCTTCTTATAACGGGTCAAGCTGTGAACTTGATGAGATATCTCCTGCAGCATTTTGCAGGGCTGAAGGTTTTTTGGAAGAAGTGTCCCCTTGAACTTGGGGAGCCCCTTAACGCCCTGGTTGGTTTGCTCAGGTTCTGGTTGGCGGGCCATTTGTTGTTGCAGGACCGATAAGCTAGAGATTCTCCTGATGAAGGATGAACACTAAATTAGGGTCCTCCTTCTAGCGTCAAACTGTTGAGCGTGATTTTAACACCAACGAAACACACGTGTGAAATGTTGAGCTGGCCCGAAAGACACACATGCATGCAAAGGAAAATGATAGTAAATGCAACGGGGACAATTTTTAAAGTGGTTCGGATGCTAAGGTAGCAAGTCCTACATCCACTGATGCTTGTATTGATGATAAGGGTCAGGTTGCTTTTAGCTGACTGACTTTACAATGATATTATAAGGTATCAAATGCTAAGAATTCTAACGAGAGAGAGAGTAGTCAATCAAGAGTAAAATGTGCGAATCCCCTTAGTGAGGGAGGAGCTTCCAATTTATAGTGGGATGCATTGAGGCAATGATCACTAAATCTGTAAGTTGGTGGGATTATCCGTGCAAATCCTTCTTTATGTCACATTGCCCACCTTCTATAGAGATTTGCGTGATTTGGAGCAGGGATTGGACACGTGGGGTCATCACAACTTCTGGCTGGTCTGGCGCACACCCACTACTCTGACGAAATCAAGCAGCAGGTATACCCATGATCTGACTCTTGCATGCTGACTGGAACTTACGTCAGCCCTTATATCTTTTAGGCATAACATGTTGTTCCATTAATATTTAAGTTTGTATGTTTCTACAGTTGTACCATGAGCAGTGTGTCTCTTTGTGTTCTTATGTTTGTTCAGTTGTAGCACTATAGCAGTGTATTTCTTTGTGTTTCACTTGTATTTGAATTAATAATTTCTGTGTGTTAATGGAACTACGTTAGTGTTATGAAATTTTATTCTCTGACAAACCTCTTTGTTATTCATGCAAGTGTCCAAATAATTTAGCAGCTTATCTCAGTGACAATCTTGTTTATGGCCTATTAGGGTTATAATATGACAAAATCAAATAATGTTGATTGGATATGAAAGCCATGAGAAGAAATCATTTGAAAAAAAATTCAAACCGGAATCTTCCAATCATTTTTATTTGGAATCTTCTCATGCTTTAACTAAAAAAAAATGTTATCTTTAAAAAGACCTATATAAAGAGGGTTACAAAATGAAATCATTAAGAAGAAAAAAATAAAAAAGAGAAAAGAAATCATGAAAATTAAGGGTGAGGATTATCTTTATATACCCCATTTTATTCTCTGACAAACCTCTTTGTTATTCATGCAAGTGTCCAAATAATTTAGCAGCTTATCTCAGTGACAATCTTGTTTATGGCCTATTAGGGTTATAATATGACAAAATCAAATAATGTTGATTGGATATGAAAGTCATGAGAAGAAATCATTTGAAAAAAATTTCAAACCGGAATCTGCCAATCATTTTTATTTGGAATCTTCTCATGCTTTAACTAAAGAAAAATGTTATCTTTAAAAAGCCATATATAAAGAGGGTTACAAAATGAAATCGTTAAGAAGAAAAAAATTAAAAAAGAGAAAGAAATCATAAAAATTAAGGGTGAAGATTATTTTTATATACCCCATTTATATGTTTCTTTACTATTAACCAAAATAAGTAAAAGTACGCCCGTAAGCCCGGTCGTGTGCACTGTGCAAATGGATTTTGTTTGCACTTGAAAGTTGAAAGTGAGGTTCGTGTTTGAGAACAAGATTGCTGTACAAATGTCGGCATGAGAGTTACAAAATGAAATCATTAAGAAGAAAAAAATAAAAAAAGAGAAAAAAATCATAAAAATTAAGGGTGAAAATTATCTTTGTATACCCCCATTTATATGTTTCTTTTACTATTAACCAAAATAAGTAAAAGTACGCCCATAAGTCCGGTCGTGTGCACTGTGCAGATGGATTTTGTTTGCACTTGAAAGTTGAAAGTGAGGTTCGTGTTTGAGAACAAGGTTGCCGTACAAATGTCGGCATTGGCTACAATCAAGCTTTTCAAACAGTGTCTTGTCATGGTTTCCAGTCAAGATTATTTGATTAACTTAACGGAGATCTTGCTTCTCTGTTAATAGATGGTTCGAACACCTAGTATTCAAAGAAGTGTAAGTGTTTTTATCTTTTTTTTTTTTTCCTTTTTTTATCACTAAAGTGTTTGAGTTAATTCATACGTTCGTCAATTAATCTTTCGATATCTTAAAATTATTGATAAGATAAGAGTTCTAATAATCATCTCTATTAGTATTTAAGAAGATTTAAACTCAAAAGTTTATAAAATTTTTTTTATTTTTTTATCATTATTGGTAGGATAAAAATTCTAATAATCATCTCTTAGTATTTAAGAAGATTTAAACTCAAAAGTTTATGAAACTCCTTTTATTTTTTTACCATTAAATTACTCAAACCATGGTTAAAAAGTTAATACATATAATAATTAATATATTAACTTTTTATCACGTAAGCGGTAAGCCTCCAGAAAAGAATTTGTAAAACCCTAACAAGTACCACATACAGAGTCTGAGAGAGATGACGCAGAAAGGGAACCTATTTAAAGGCAAACAAAATAAGAAAGTAACACCTCCCAACCGCCATAGAAAAGCCGTTCATATTCGCAAAGGTAAGTCTGTCTGTCTATGTTCTGTATCTAATAATACTATCTGCATATTTTTGTTATTTGGTTGAATTGTAAGGATTAATTTTATGTTCATTTATGAAGGGAAAAGGGTTGTGAAGCCTTGAAAGATTACAAAAGACATGGATACTGATAGGGTACGTTCCATTTTTCACACTATTTATTTTGTTAATTTTTATTTTCTTTATTTGTTTGATGTAAACAAGGCGTAAGAATAGGCAGTTAGAGTTTTGATAATTATTTGTGTTAAAAATAGCAAATTATCGTACAGTAAATAAGGGCGATTGTATTTGTGTATGTTTTTAGCACCAAAAATTCATGTTTCCTTGCTTTGGTATAAGCATTTTGATCTATTAGATACCGATTCTAGCTATAATTATTGGTCTAATTTAAGTATTAATATTTTAGCTGCTACTTTACTGTGATATTCGGTTCTGTTAGGCATGTCTAGAAATGAGGCCATTTCACAATGATGGTATTGTTGTTATGGGTATTGCTTGAGAGTGTTCTGTTGTGAAGCATGATTTGGATCAGGGCTATAGTTATTTTGTTCAGATCTCTGGGTTCTTAAGAAGGTGGGATAAGTTGATTATTACTCACTTGGCTGATGATGTGTGTGGTTTTATCATAAAGGTTACGGTATTCTGGTCTGTTTGCTGAAGTTGATTTTACAATCTTAAATTTCTGGAGACCTTTGTCACTGGAGCTAAGGTTCCCGATAGGAGCATTTTTCTTTAGGTTTTGTATTTTTGTCTGGATACAGTGAGGAGTTTCTTCTCCAGATTTGGTGGATGGGACTGAGTTTTATCATTCTCCTCTCTGCTTTCTGGACATCCAAGGTGTTCTGTTAGTTCCTTTTTTGGCCATAGGAGTGGTGGTGGGTTTTTTTACCAGGAAATTCAGGTCATATCACTATAGACAATCGTACTTTCATTGTCAAAGTTTGTTTAATTTGTGAAGACAATTATTAGGAGGTATCAAAGAAGACATTTACATCCATAATTTGAATTTTGCTATTTTTGGATGAAAAATTGTTCTCCTCACTCTGAAATTTGATCACAAAAGGAGCATATGTTAATAGCAAAAGGGATACTTGGTTTCATTGTTAGACTCAACTGGAACAGATTTTGCAGTCTCATCTTGTCAAGAACAATTCTTTTTTCAGGTTTGACTGTGGGAATCGTCATTTTCTTGCTGGGTTGAATTTTTGTAATATGTATGTCCCGAATTACACTTTATTAGAACATTACATCTATTATGCTATGATATATCTTTTTTAGTTTACCATAGTCAGTGCTAATGTAAGGAGGGGCCAATTAGTTTAAAGGCATTAAGGTATTACAAAATGGGCACAGTAGGAGAGGTTGCTGGGTTTTGTCCTATGTAATGTTTTTCTTATATCTACAATAAAAAAAAAAAAGACTGGAAAGATTCTGCAGCTAGAAATATTCTATAGTGTGCATATTATAAGTTTCTTGTTGTTCTTTCAGTTTTTTAACTAGCATATACATCGCTTCAAGATAGAACTCCATCTGGAAACACTGCATTAAGATGTACTGTGAAGCATGACGAACTCTTGTAGTATTGGTCTTTTATTTCCTTGTTGTGTATTAGTACAGAGATTTGTTCAGCCATATAGACCTGAGCTTTTTTCGTAGAATATGTTACTGTTACTATTCTTTTTTTCTTACTCTGCTAGATAACACATTATTGACTATGTAATATCTTTATCTTCATATCAAGGTAACTGACTTTAAAGGTACCAAAAGATGTTGGGTTTTTCTAGACTATAAACAATGGGTTAACATTTTGTGCCCAATTATTATCACTTTGAAAGTGAGTATTGGACATGAACCTGAAATTTGTTTGTACTTAAATACGTCGTTGTTACTATTCTTTTTTCTTACCTTGCAAAGTAATCAATTATTGACCATGTAATATCACTAATTTCATGACACGGCAACTGCCTGTGAAGATACCAAAAGATGTAGTGAATTATTTTGAAGTCATATTTGGTGGATGGGACTGATTTTTTTAATTCTCCTCTCTGGTTTCTGGACATTCAACGGTGTTCTTTTAGTTCCTTTTTGGGCCAAAGGAGTGGTGGTGGTTTTTTTACCAGGAAATTCAGGTCGTGTCACCGTAGACAATCTTAGTTTCATTGTCAAAGTTTGTTTAATTTGCGAAGACAATTATTCAGGAGGTATCAAAGTGGATATTTACATCCATAATTGGAATTTTGCTATTTTTGGATGAAAAATTGTTCTTCTCACTCTGAAATTTGATCACAAAAGGAGCATATTTTAGTAGCAAAAGGGATACTTGGTTTCATTGTTAGACTCAACTGGAACAGATTTTGCAGTCTCGTCTTGTCAAGACCAAACTTTTTTCTGGTTTGAGAGTCAAAATCGTCATTTTCTTGCTTGGTTGAATTTTTAGTTTCTTTTGTAATCTGTATGCTCCTAATTACACTTCATTAGCACATTACATCTATTATGTTGCGATCGTCATCTATAACCCACATGCCCATCATTTTCCCTTCCCAATGTGGGATCCTAACACATACAATTTTTCTTCCAGGGATATGAAACAAATTGTATCCCGTCCCTTTTAACTCCAATCTGCTTGTTTTTTTGACACATTCATATTGCTAATGGCATTGCCTTCTCTTATATATGATGATTCCAGGAACTGACCAAATTCATAAATCACTGCAACGAAGTGAAGGCAGCTACCCTTGCGAACAAGGAAGGTGGCCAACTAAGTATTGTCAAAACGTCAGCTGGGTCTACTGCTAACAAGAAGGATGAAAAACCCGACTCCAATTAGTGGGTTGTTGAAAAACTCTTTGGGAAGAAAAATTAGCGGGTTAGGTAAGGGGAATGAATGGAGATTGTGAATGATTTTGATAGGAAAAAGGCGGACTATGAAATGAACAAGAGAAGAGAAGTTAAATTTGGAGAGAGAGATAGAAGGCGAAGAAAAAGTGTTTTAGGCTTTAACTCGCACGTTGAGAAAGAGAAGGAGAAAGAATGCCAATTTGGGTTTACAAAACGGGTAGAGTCGGGTACGGGTCAAAACGGGTCTAATTATATAGATCTATACTCTATATTATTTACTCTGGTACAAGTTGACTCAAGGGTCCTAACCCGTTTTGTCAGGTCTAATCATCGGAATAGATTTATCTAAAACACTAATAAAAATGTCATAAATAGACTACTTTGTATATTTATTCAAAAATGTTATGCAGCAAGATAAACAATATGACAGTAAGTATGATCAAAAGTTATATGTATCTCTTGGTTAACAAATCCATTTGTTTTAACCAATTATAGTCATAGGTGTATCATGCATCCAAATCAATACGTACCTAACAAAAAATTGCACTGTTGATCATGCAGCTCTTCAGTGCCCCTTAAATCATATTCCAATAGTTGATCATGATCATAACTAACACCTTAATTATCATTTTTTTATCCTAAGAACAGAATCATTTCTTAATCCTAAGAACAGAATTCTCTAGTGCTCCATCTCAACCATTTTATGTTCTCTCACCTTTATAACCATGTTCGAATTATCATATAAAAGACATATGGTAAGCTGTAAGCCATGCCATGCCCCTATAAACCCACTGTTACATGAACCATGGGATTATTAAGATAAACATATGCTTCTGTAATAACTTTAAATAGATTTATTATAAGAGAATATATTTGTATTTAATTTTTTATTATTATTATTTAATTTAACTAAAAAATAAGTTAGAAAAAGAAAGAGTCTATTATACCCAAAATAATCATCTTTTATGATGTTAGCCATTATGATACAGATTCAGGATATACAAAACGATTATACAATCTTTTTAATTGAAAAAATTCCAAAAATAAAATTAAAAAACTATTTTGGCTAAATGAATTTACTTTGATTTAGTTTTCTTTTTAACACCAGTAGTTATGTTATATTCTAGAATGTCTAATGGCTCTTCTTAATTTCTAAACCTACTTGTCAACCGTGTGCGTGAGATGAGGAGAAAGAGAGGTCTTGCTTGTTTTTCTAGTGCAAGAGATGCAATAATTGTCGCTGTTTGTTTCCCAGGAAAACTATGAGGGAATTTTCTGATGAAGAAGGAAAACAAAGTGACGTAATAATGTCATTTATCTGTTTTATTTTTCTTTTACTAATCACTATTATTATTTATTAATCATGAGTGATAAATTTTGCTGCATAAATATACAATACCAATATATATACATAATCAGAAGCACAATACACAACCAAAAGGTGGGCAACTGGACCACAAAATTCTGAAATGGAAATACAGCCTCTGATAAACAACTGATACTGATACAAACTACTAGATAAACAAACACGAAGTTAACAAGAAACCTCATGTCCATGTCAAGAGAAACGTGAAGACTGAACACATAAGATGGCACAAAGATACCGAAGAAACCTACATATGTAAACATTCTTATACAAAGCAATTGGTGAACAGCCTGAACAACTGAGAACTCTTTTGCACGACCAGCATCTCTAACTAATTGATTTTCTGCAAGTATCACACAAAAATAATCAACAATTACATACAGAATAAATGCCGGATTTTATTCAAAAAAAAAAAAATGAAGTTATCTTTGTATAGACATTCATGGAGGAGTCAATACTCAGCATTCTATCCTCACGGTCTGTTTAGATGCAGCGAGGATGAATAAAAATCCAAGGAGATTCCATGTAATTAAACAAGGATATTAAATTGAAATGGCGTACCTTGGGCTGAAGGTTTATAAAATTGATTAGAATTCAAGGAGATTCCGATATTATGTTGGCTATGATGGGCCAATACTCTGCATTCTTTTTGCATTTTTCTTTCAGCAGAGGACATCCATCGATATAAAGATAGTCGATTGAGGGGGGCAGCCCATTTGGAAAGTATTTGAGCTTTGGACAGCGAAGGAAATGTAGTTCTGTTAAGGAGGTCAGGTTTTGAACCGAAGAGGACAGGCTTTCCAGATTCGGAAAATTTTCAATTTCCAGTGTATCTAGAGAGGTTGGAAGTTTCATTCCTATCTCCTCCTGCGGAAAGGACTCCACGTCATCACATCCTCCACTAATTTTGAGCACAGAAAGAGAGGTGAGTCTGTGCAATCCCCACTTGAACAATGGCTTGCAGATGTTGGCATCTTTAATCTTGAGTGACCAAATGTTAGCGGGAAATCCATCCTCAGGAAAAGATACAATGCCTGGACATTTTTGTATTGTCAATTGCTGAAGAGAGGTGAGATTGCACATTCCATTTGGCAGGGCCACCAGTTTCTCACACTCATTTATGTAAACCGTTGATAGTTTGGTGGAGGGCAACCCTCCTTCTGGAAATTGAATAAAATTTGGACAATCCGTTACTTTAATCTCATGAAGATGGCTGAGTTTGTTCAAGCAATCGGGTAACAATTTTAGATTTTTACACCCATCGATACAAAATTTCTCAAGAGATGTGTTATCATTCACCCTTTCTGCTATTGACTCCAGCGTTGAGCATTGCTGAATGGTAAGGAATAAAAGAGCCGTAGGCAGATTACCTCTTGAAGAGAAGAAAACAAGATTCGGGCAATTATAAACCTCAATGCGCTCAACTGAGCATGGCAACTCACCATGTGACAACAAGGACGCAAGAGATTCACAGTCTCTAATATTCAAGTACTCTAGCAGAGAAGTGTTCTGACTGCTGCCACTGTTGATACTCTCCTCGAACATTTCAAAAACTTCTTTGTCCACCAAAGTCTGTAAGTTATTGCAATATTTGATGCCCAGCCGCTTCAGATTCGGAGGTAGCTGAACTCTTGCAATGTATTTCACAGACTCACAATCTGAAATATTGAAACTTTCAAGAGATGTCATACTGCTGTGCACCAATGCTTCAACTCCCCGTGCTTTGCAATTCTCAATCGTAATGGATCTCAGCTGAGAAGGCAAGCCAACTACTTCAGCAAAAGAAACAAGATTTGAGCAGTTTTTTATTGATATATCTGTAAGTGAACTGAGATTATGCAGCGTTTGCGGTAGCTTTGCAAGGTTTTCACAATCCCTCAGTTCCAGATTATGAAGTCTGCAAGGAAACCTTTGTTGTAGTAGCTTTTCTTCTTCCTCTGCAACCGTGGAAAGAACTTGGGAACAGCGCTCAGGAGCCAATCCATGAAGTGAGCTAATATCTTGATGTGATTCCATTCCTTTGAAAGTTATGTCTTTGCAACCACGAATCCTCAGTTCTTCTAGTTTTGGTACCCCTTGCACAAAACTCTCTCCCATAGTCACACGATTTGATACATCAATAAGTTTCACTGACTTCAATGAACCACCGTCTTCAATTTCCCACTCCACCTCGTTGCACCCATAAATCTCTAATTTGCAGAGTACTGGAGAACTTGGAACTGACACCGACAGTTGCTCGCATTTTTCAATGACAAGCTTTTCCAATTTCGGAAGACGTTTTGGCAATTCCCCATTCAGTTTTGAACAACGAACAATAAAAAGCTCTCGTAGGCTAGGAAACTCTTCAACTTCTTGACCAGGTCCATGAGGAATCCAGTTTTCCCATTCTTTCATGTCCCCAAAGTAGAGTCTCTCAAGTGATGGAAAAGGGACCGAGCAACCATTTCCATTGAACTCTGGATCCACGCTCTTCACTCGAACCATTCCATTGATAACAAGTTCCTTGAGAAGGGGAAGGTGCCCAACAGAAGGCAAGGAAATACAATTGCCACAATTCTCGAATCTTAGACTCTTTAGTTTTGTGAAAGAGGAATTTCCTATCCAAGTTGGAAATTTTGTACCCTCATAGCCAATGACACTGAGCTCTGTCAAGTTTTGGTGAGGTTGTAGCAACTCCAGCACTTGTGCTTGAGATTCTACCCGCGCCGAAGTTTCGGTACTACAAGTCCATTCCAAAAGAAGCACATTCAGGTTCTGCTTACCATTCAAGTCTGCCTCCTTGGCGTCATTAGCATCGTGTACATTCTCTAATCCCGAAATGTGAAGACTATCCTTAAGATGGGTTAAAGACTTCAATTCTTCTAACCCAGAGCCAACGTCTTTGCCCAAAACATACTTAGGAAGTGTTTGGAGACTGGTTAATTTTCCAATCCTGCGAGGCATATGCTCCAATAAATTTACACTGAAAAGGTTGAGATGCCGCAGACTGACAAGGTTCCCCATATCTGTACACAATGTCCTTAGAATAGCACAACCCTCTAGCAAAAGTGATTGTAAATTGTACAGACTACCAACTGATTCAGGCAAACTTATAATATCAGTGTAAGACAGATCAAGGTACCGTAGATGCTTCAAATCTCCAATGTCATATGGTAGCTCTTCGACACAGTATTTATGCAAAGATAATACCCTTAAACGCTGTGATTTCTGCAACATCTGATAAAAAAAATTAAGAGTGACAGAAGGGAACCTAGCAGATTCTGATTTATAATAAATAAAAGGAGCTTTACGGCTGGCGTAAGAGGAATCTTCTCGTTTCACCGTGAGTGGTAAGAAAGTTCGTAAATGTTTGACACCATTGGAGGCTTCAAGCTTTTCCATGCCATCCAATGGGCCTCCAGTGTATGATAAATGACGAAGATTATCAGAAAACCAAAATTGATTGTCACCCTCGTGCATATCCTCCATTCTCAAGTATGTTTTTCCAGCAGCCCATTGAGCAAGATCATGGATAAGGTCATGCATCACAAACAATGATGCATTGGAGTCTGATTTTTCGAAAAATGATCTCGACTTTAACTCACGAAAGTATTTGCAGCCCAAGTTTTCCAGTTTGTTCACACCATTTTCACTTTGCAAGAAACCCTCAGCCATCCATAATAAAACCATCTTCTGCTCTTGAAATTCATAACCCTTTGGGAATAACGAGCAGTACGCAAAACATTGTTTTAAATGTGGGGGAAGATGATAGTAACTTACTTTGAGAGCTGGCATAATGTCACCTTCCTCTTCCGATATATCCCATATTTTGCTATTTAGAACATCTCTCCAATCATTGACATCATATTTACCATGTAATAAGCCACCAAGAGTTTTAGCTGCCAAAGGCAATCCATCACACTTTTTAACTATCTTCTCACCAATTTCTTTTAAGTCTTGATCATGCACACTAAAATCTTTTGTTCCCAACGAGTGTTGAGTAAAAACTTGCAAACAATCATCATCTGACAACTTTGCCAATGAGTACCCTGCACCAGTTTTTATCATCGATGAAACACCTTGCAAGCGAGTTGTAACGACTATCTTACTTCCTGGTGAACCAGCTTCAAATGGACTATATAGAATGGTCCAATCATTATAATTCTGCATCCAAACATCATCCAAAACAAGCAAAAACTTCTTACCAGAGAGTTCTCTTTTCAGTTTGACTTGAAGCCAGTTTAGATCATTAAAATGACGGCGGCGAAAAATATTGCTATCATCCTGCTCAGGAACAATGGAGTTTAAAATTGTTTTTGTCACTCTAGTTACATCAAAATCGTCGGAAACATAAATCCATACTTGGAGATCAAAATGATTCACTATTCTGACATCATTGTAAACAAGTTGAGCGAGTGTGGTCTTGCCCAACCCTCCCATCCCAGTGATAGGAATAACAGAGACTCCATCATCATCAGTACATGAATCACCACTCAGCAATAATTCAACTATTGCCTCCTATCCTTTTCCTACCATAAACTTTGGCTTCATTAACCAAAGAGTGTTGGTAGTCTTTCCCTGACTTTCTTGACCTCCTTCCCGAATTCTCTCTCAACTCCAGGTTCTTTTTCAGTTACAATAGTTTGCAATCTGGTAGTGATCTCTTTATTTTGGACCCCTCATGTTATTGAACTTAACAGATCGTGGACTGAAACTGGTGAAGCAGTGGGAATGAGTTTTCGTACCTTACTGGGGTGGCTTGAGTTTGAGGTTCAAGCAACAACTTCCTCGCATAGCTTCAGTAGCAAACTCATCCAGGATGTCTTCCACGTCATAGGCCAAGTCCTGGAGTTCACCCAGCCAGATCCTAACCAACGACTCGTCATCTGCTTCTCCTCTGCGTCGTCAGCACGGCATGAATCTTCACCATGTCTTTTCCCACTTCTGAGATCAGCATGGATTTTCTTTTGGAGACCAACTGCACGTCCCTCGAAGACCAACTTTTCTATCAGCACTCAACAGTGACGACAGAATTGCCTCTCCAATGATCGACTAGTACCGTCTTTGTGAAACAAGATTTATGGAGAATCGAAGTATAGAGACAATCTGTAGAAAGTTACAATCAAGGAAGGAAGTTACCCAAGACTTCGACCATGAAATTTACAAGCAAGGTCACTCCTTTTCCAGTTGCTTATCTTGTAAGCAAAGTACAGAGAATATATATTGCTTTGGGGATTTGGGCAACCCTCCCTGTTGTCAAAGCTTTTTATAGTATTAAGGATCCTACATTTATATCTTTAACTTTACACTAATCGTAATGTACTCACTATGCATACCCAATGGAATTTCAATTTGCATATATTGTTGATCAGGCTCATCTTTCAAACGAATTTAAGCCCAATTCATAGACCACACCAGTAATTGCAGGCCCAAAACAGTTTAAAACCTCTCCTCATGTTTGTTTAACTTTTTCAACCATATTCTATTATATATCTTATCCTAAAAAAGAAAACACATGTTTATTTTAATATTATTCAAAATCTAATCATATTCTACTCAACTTAAAATATTAATAATTCTTTTTTTCAATAAAAGATTATAAATTACAAAAACACTATCATCCACCCAAGCAACGGCTGCCTGCCAACAACCACCGCCAACTACCAGCTGCCACCACTACCACCGCCAACACTGGCACCAAAAACGACGCATGATCGACCAAATCTAGCCAATCTATTCGTTTTTTTACCACATCCACCTTGGATCTAGCAGGAAACAACCACATCTACAACAAAAAATCTGGCTATTTGGTTGTCAGCAATGGCCATATCTTGGCCATCATTTGACCATAATCTGGCTGAAAATAGTTAGATCTAGCCGATCGTACATCATTCCAATACCTTTCGACCACCGTCAGATGGCGATGGCCAACGTCGACAATCGGTTGGGTGGTGGAGGTGTTTTTGTTCATTTATAAACTTTTATTGTGGGTGAATGGTTTAGTTAAATTAACAAATGTAAGGGTTAAAAATATTTTTAGAAAATCTTTTCCAAGGATGTATCAAACATATTATTATAATCTTATCTTATTTAATTTAATCATATCATATCTATTTAGGATATAATATTATTAAAAAGTGTACTAACGAAGCTTGTGATTTTCCCTTTATATTCTTATTCCATTGTACTCTCCACTTGATGTGGGCACGTCAATAAAATAAAAATTGTTGCGCTTAAAGTCCCACATCATCCTGGTGAGAGGATAGTTGAGTGTTTAAACAGGTTCATAGGTCTTAATAGATGTATTTTGGGCTCGAAACCCAGAATAAAACAGTGTGTAACACATTATCAACATGAGCATAATATCATCCAAATAATGGAAAAATAAATAAAAAAGTCTCGTCATATTTATTTCCCCTCATTTTCTTTCACTCATTTTGTATAGAGAGATATTTCAAGATTTTGTTAATGAATCATATATAAGCCTATTTGTTTGTTTAACCAGTCAAAAAGTGCTTGACCTGTGAGTTTAATCAGCGAATGGCTAACGACAATGCATAAGCCTCACTGTTTGTTCGTATTTCCCATTAATACGAAAAAGTCTTGGTAAAAAGGATTTACCTTGTGTTCATCCAATAATACATATGTCATTACCTATAATCACTATTTATTATTAATCATGGTGATAAATTTTGCTGCATGAATATACAGTACCAATAATAATATACATACATAATCAAAGCACAATACACAACAAGGTGGGCAACTGGACCACAAAATTCTGAAATGGAAATCACCGCGCAAGTGCAGCACAGCCTATGTTAACAACTGATACTGATACAAATACTAGATAAAAACACGAAGTTACAAGAAACCTCGTGTCCATGTCAAGAGAAATGTGAAGACTGACACATAAGATGGCACAAAGATACGAAGAAACCTCCATATATAAACATTCTTATACAAAGCAATTGGTGAACAGCCTGACAACTGAGAACTCTTTTGCACGACCAGCATCTCTAACTAATTGATTTTCTGCAAGTTTGACACAAAATGAAGTTACCTTTGTAAAGACATTCATGAGGAGTCAATACTCTGCATTCTATCCTCACAGTGAAAACAAGTGAGAAGGCGCAGATCTTTGAAGTTGGCTGTTTAGATGCAGCGAGGATGATAAAAATCCAAGGAGATTCCATGTAATTAAACAGGATATTAAATTGAAATGGCGTACCTTGGCTGAAGGTTTATAAAATTGATTAGAATTCAAGGAGATTCCGGGATTATGTTGCTATGATGGGCCAATACCCTGCATTCTTTGCATTTTCTTCCAGCAGAGGACATCCCCGATATACAGCTCGTCGATTGGGGGGGCAGCCCGTTTGAAGTATTTGAGCTTCGGACAACGAACGAAATGTAGTTCGGTTAAGGAGGTCAGGTTTTGAACCGATGAGGACAGGCTTTCCAGATTCGGAAAATTTTCAATTTCCAGTGTTCTAGAGAGGTTGGAAGTTTCATTCCTATCTCCTCCTGCGGAAAGGACTCCACGTCATCACATCCTCCACTAATTTTGACTCGAAAGAGAGGTGAGTCTGTGCATCCCCACTCGAACATGGCTTGCAGATGTTGGCATCTTAATCTCGAGTGACCAAATGTTAGTGGAAATCCATCCTCAGGAAAGATACATGCCTGGACATTTGTATTGTCAAATTCCGAAGAGAGGTGAGATTGCACTTCCATTTGGCAGGGCCACCAGTTTCTCGCACTCATTTATGTAAAGCGTTGACAGTTTGGTGGGGGCACCCTCCATCTGGAAATTGATGAAACTTGGACAATCCATTACTTTAAACTCTTGAAGATGGCTGAGTTTGTTCAAGCAATCGTGTACAATTTTAGATTTTTACACCCATCGATACGAAATCTCTGAAGAGATGTGTTATCATTCCCGTTTCTGCTATGGACTCCAGCTTTGAGCATTGCCGAATGCTAAGGGATCCAAGAGCCGTAGGAAATTACCTCTTGGAGAGAAGGAAAAAAGATTCGGGCAATTATCAATCTCAATGCGCTTAACTGAGCATGGCAACCACCGTGTGACAACAAGCACGCGAGAGATTCACAGTCTCTAATATTCAGGTACTCTAGCAGAGAAGTGTTCTGACTGCTTCCACTGTTGATACTCTCCCGATTTCGGAAACTTCGTTGTCCACCAAAGTCTGTAAGTTATTGCAATATTGTGTTCCAACCGCTTCACATTCGGAGTAGCTGGACTCTTGCAATGTATTTCACAGACTCACAATCTGAAATTTTGAAACTTTCAAGAGCTTCAGCTGCTGTGCACCAATGCTTCGACTCCCCGTGCTTTGCAATTCTCAATCGTAATGGTATCCAGCTGAGAAGGCAAGCCAACTACTTCTGTAAAAGAAACAAGATTTGAGCAGTTTTTTATTGATATATCTGTAAGTGAAGTGAGATTATGCAGCGTTTGCGGTAGCTTTGCAAGGTTTTCACAATCCCTCGTTCCAATTATGAAGTCTGCAAGGCAACCTTTGTTGTAGTTGCTTTTCTTCTCCCTCTGCCACCGTGGAAAGAACTTGGGAACGCGCTCAGGACCAATCCATGAGTGGCTAATATCTTGACGTGATTCCATTCCTTTGAAAGTTATGTCTTTGCAACCACGAATCCTCGTTCTTCTAGTTTTGGTACCCCTTGCACAAAACTCTCTCCCATGTCACACGATTTGATACATCAATAAGTTTCACTGACTTCAATGAACCACCGTCTTCAATTTCCCCACTCCACCTCGTTGCACCCATAAATTCTAATTTGCGAGTACTGAGGAACTTGGAACTGACACCGACATTTGCTCGCATTTTTCAATGACAAGCTTTTCCAATTTCGGAAGACGTTTTGGCAATTCCCCATTCAGTTTTGAACAACGAACAATAAAAGCTCTCGTAGGCTAGGAAACTCTTCAACTTCTTGACCAGGTCCATGAGGATCCAGTTTTCCCATTCTTTCATTCCCCAAAAAGTCTCTCAAGTGATGGAAAAGGGCCGAGCAACCATTTCCATTGAACTCTGGATCCACGCTCTTCACTCGAACCATTCCGTTGATAACAAGTTCCTTGAGAAGGGAAGGTCCCCCACAGAAGGCAAGGAATACAATTGCCACAATTCTCGAATCTTAGACTCTTTAGTTTTGTGAAAGAGGAATTTCCTATCCATTTGAATTTTGTACCCTCATAGCCAATGACACTGAGCTCTGTCAAGTTTTGGTGAGTTTGTAGCAACTCCAGCACTTGTGCTTGAGATTCTACCCGCGCCGAAGTTTCGGTACACAAGTCCATTCCAAAAGAACACATTCAGGTTCTGCTTACCATTCAAGTCTGCCTCCTTGGCGTCATTAGCATCGTGTACATTCTCTAATCCGAATGTGAAGCCTCTCCTTAGATGGGTTAAGGCTTCAATTCTTCTAACCCAGAGCCAACGTCTTTGCCCAAAACATACTTAGGAATGTTTGGAGCTGGTTAATTTTCCAATCCTGCGAGGCATATGCTCCAATAAATTTACTCTGAAAAGGTTGAGATGCCGCAGACTGACAAGGTTCCCCATATCTGTACACTTGTCCTTAGAATAGCCCAACCCTCTAGCAAAAGTGATTGTAAATTGTACAGACTACCAACTGATTCAGGCAAACTCATCTCAGTGTAAACAGATCAAGGTACCGTAGATGCTTCAAATCTCCAATGTCATTGGTAGCTCTTCGACACAGTATTTATGCAAGATAATACCCTTAAACGCTGTGTTTCTGCAACTCTGATAAAAAAATTAAGAGTGACAGAAGGGAACCTAGCAGATTCTGATTTATAAAATAAAAGGACTTACGGCTGGCGTCAGAGGAATCTTCTCGTTTCACCGTGAGTGGTAAGAAAGTTCGAAATGTTTGACACATTGGAGGCTTCAAGCTTTTCCATGCCATCCATGGCCTCCAGTTTATGATAAATGACGAAGATTATCAAAAACCAAAATTGATTGTCACCCCTCGTGCATATCCTCCATTCTCAAGTATGTTTTTCCAGCAGCCCATTGAGCAAGATCATGGATAGGTCATGCATCACAAACAATGCATTGGAGTCGGATTTTTCGAAAAATGATCTCGACTTTAACTCACGAAAGTATTTGCAGCCCAAGTTTTCCAGTTTGTTCACACCATTTTCACTTTGCAAGAAACCCTCAGCCATCCATAATAAAACCATCTTCTGCTCTTGAAATTCATAACCCTTGTGAATAACGAAGTATGCGAAACACTTGTTTAAATGTGGGGGAAATGATAGTAACTTACTTTGAGAGCTGGTCATAATGTCACCTTCCTCTTCCGATATATCCCATATTTTGCTATTTAGAACATCTCTCCAATCATTGACATCATATTTACCACGTAATAAGCCACCAAGAGTTTTGGCTGCCAAAGGCAATCCATCACACTTTTTAACCATCTTCTCGCCAATTTCTTTTAAGTCTTGATCATGCTCACTAAAATCTTTTGTTCCCAACGAGTGTTGAGTAAAAACTTGCAAACAATCATGATCTGACAATTTTGCCAATGAGTACCCTGCACCAGTTTTTATTATCGATGAAACACCTTCCATTCGAGTTGTAACAACAATCTTACTTCCTGGTGAATAGGCTTCAAATGGACTATATAGAACGGTCCAATCATTATAATTCTGCGTCCAAACATCATCCAAAACAAGCAAAAACTTCTTACCAGAGAGTTCTCTTTTCAGTTTGATTTGAAGCCGGTTTAGATCATTAAAATGGAGGCTAAAAATATTGCTATCATCCTGCTCAGGAACAATGGAGTTTAAAATTTTTTTTGTCACTCTAGTTACATCAAAATCGTCGGAAACATAAATCCATACTTGGAGATCAAAATGATTCACTATTCTGACATCATTGTAAACAAGTTGAGCGAGTGTGGTCTTGCCCAACCCTCCCATCCCAGTGATAGGAATAACAGAGACTCCATCATCATCAGTACATGAATCACCACTCAGCAATAATTCAACTATTGCCTCCTCATCCTTTTCCCTACCATACACTTTGGCTTCATTAACCAAAGAGGTGGTGGGCAGTCTTTCCCTGACTTTCTTTGACCTCCCCCCCGAATTCTCTCTCAACTCCAGGTTATTTTTTTCAGTTACAGTAATTTGCAATCTGGTATCGATCTCCTTTATTTTGGACCTCATCATGTTATTGAACTTAACAGATCGTGGACTGAAGCTGGTGAAGAAACTAGGAATGAGTTTTCGTACCATACTGGTGGTGGCTTGAGTTTGAGGTTCAAGCAACAACTTCCTACGCAGAGCTTCAGTAGCAAACTCATCCAGGATGTCTTCCACGTCATAGGCCAAGTCCTGGAGTTCACCGAGCCAGATTCTAACCAAACGACTCGTCATCTGCTTCTCCTCTGCGTCGTCAAGCACGGCATGAATCTTCACCAATGTCTTTTCCCACTTCTTGAGATCAGCCTGGATTTTCTCTTGGAGACCAAACTGCACAAATACCTCAGAAACCAACTTTTCTATCAGCATGTCAACAGTGACAGACAGAATTGCCTCCCCAATGATCGACATAGTACTGCCTTTGGTGAGACTAAGAATTATGGAGAACCGAAGTATGGAGAAAATCTGTAGAAAGTTACAATGAAGGAAGGAAGTTAGCCAAATGGACTTCGACCATGAAATTTACAAGCAAGGTTACTCCTTTTCCAGTTGCTTATCTTGTAAGCAAAGTATAGAGAATATTTATTGCTTTTGGGGATTTGGGCAACCCTCCCAATGTTGTCAAGGCTTTTATAGTATCAAGGAATCCTATCATTTATGTTATGCCTGGAAAAGTAGGGCTGACGCAAAAGTCCTATCAGTATGGGTGGTCAAAACTTAAGAAAGTTCTACAACCGCTCAGATGCGGCCACGTCGTGTGATAACGTGAGCGGTATGTTCTTGCCAGTGTAGTAGGTGTATATCAGGTTGGCAAATGGTTGGAAACGAACCACGTGTCCAATCCCTGCACGAGTTGAGAAAATCACGCAGGTAGGTTAGCAATGGGATGCAGAGATGGATTTGCACGATATCTATCCCACTCGCATATTTAGTAATCATTACCCTGATTCATCCCACTATAAATGAAGGACTTCTCTCTCATTTGTGGGATTGGTTAATTTCTCTCTAGAAAAGCTTATTTGTGGGATTGGCTAATTTCTCTCTAGAAAAGCTTACTCTCTCTCTCTCTCTCTCTCTCTCTCTCTCTCTTGTATTCTCAAAGCTAAAACTCAGCTCGCTAAACGCGACCCGACTGTACTCATTAATACAATATCAGTGGACGTAGGATTCGCCTTGCGAGCATCCGAACCACTTTAAACGTTGTTCTTCTCTCTTTATTCAATTAAACATTTCTATAATCACGTGTGACTTCTGAGCCCGCTCAGCATTTCTCACGTGCGAATAGTTGGTGTCAAAATCAAGCATCAACAGTTTGGCGCCAGAAGGAGGGCCTAATTTAGTATCTGTTCTTCATCAGGAGAATCTCTGACTAATCGGTCCCATAACAGCAAGTGGCTCGCGGTTTCGAATCTGAGCGAACCACCTATGGCAATGAAGAAATCCCCCAGGTACAGGAGGACACTTCTCCCAAAGTGCCCCGAGCCGAGCAAAATGAAATGGGAGATATCCCTTCAAGCTCATGACTTGATCCAGCCATTATAAGTTACCTAGAGAGGTTCAACAATACTCTTCAAACGGTCAGCCAGAGGCTGGACCGATTGGATCGGGTCGTACCACCCAAATCAAATGAGGTAGTACAACCACAAAAAACGCCTGCAAGTCATGCGAAAGCGTGGAAAAGGGCAAAAGCCTATATCGTGCGCACTGCAGCGCGTCAAAGAAAGGGAAAGCAAGTGGCGCACGGCGGACCTAAAGGCCCCGAGGGACTGGCAAACACCGATTCCACCCCGAGCAGAATACCCGTAGCATTGCGACTCGATGACATGTCACGACCCGAGCCGTCCCTTGCCACGTCGCATGAGCACTCCCACAAAAGTGCAAGGCGGGGAGATTCCTATAATCGCCAAAATGACGACTTTGATCGTCATCGTGCGGGAGATTGCCACCGTCTGCAGGTCGGTTCGTACCACCACGGAGGTCAAGAAAGTTCCTTGAACCATTCAATGTCATCATACGACTCTAGCCAGAGTGTGTCGAGATTGGTCAAAACTGCTGGCCAAGGCGAGGAGGAATCTGATCTATGGTCTCTCCTCAACTGCAACCGTAAGGGTCGAACCCATGTTACGGAAAGTGATCCGCCAATAGCTCCACTACCTCAGATTGAGGAGTTACAGTGAGCTCTAGATCAGCTAAAGGCTCAGTGAAATGAGCAAGAGCAGGTCACAGAGGCGTCTCCTTTTTCTCCGGCAGTATTAACCGCTCCTCTCCCGTCGAAATTCAGAATGCCCGACATGAGAGCATTCGATGGGAATTCTGATTCGCATGATCATTTGTACGAGTTCAACGACCTCATGGAACTCCACCAAGTCTTTGACTTAGCAAAATGTCGTTACTTCGCTGTAACTCTTACCTCTCATGCCAAGCGATGGTTTAGGTCGCTCCCAACAAGATCGATCAGCTCGTGGCCCTAGATGAGCTCGACATTCCTAAGACACTTCTAAGCAAACAAGAAGTTCTCAATGCCCCTGAGCTACCTTAGCAACATAAGGCAAGAGAGGGATGAGCCCTTCTAATCTTATATTGACAAGTTCCACAAGGAGCTCTATAAAGTAGCTCACACTCCCGAAGAGTCTGTTTGGACTCTTATCATCGCGGGAATTCATCCATAGACGGATTTGTGGAAGGAGCTACAATCTGAGGACAAAGTTTCCCTCACCCGCTTCTACAACCTTACGGAAAAGTATCTCCTCATTGAAAACTCTGTGGCGACGCTCAACCGCCACGACCCTAGTTCTTCGGGCAATGCTCCCTGATCGAGAGGAGAACAGGAAGGCTGATCGTAGATGAGTTAATGATGATCAGCGGAAAGGAAAGAAGCAGCGATATAAGCCCAAGAAATCTTATGCCCTAGTTCCTCGTTGTGATCGCGACAAGAGCCAATATACCCCTCTGAATGCCTCAGTCTTGACTATCCTTGATAAGTCAGAAGAGGCTAGTCTACTCGAAGAGCCCGAACCAATGAAAAATCTCCTCTCAGCCAGAAGCAGTAAAAAATATTGTCGCTATCACCGGGATAACGGGCACCACACCGATGAATATCGGGTCTTCAAGCAAGCAATTGAGCACCTCATTAAACAGGGGCACTTTAAAGAGTACGTCGATGACTCTACTCCCGTTTGGGAGAAAAATCAAAAGGAACTAGGCAATAAGCGTCGTGGTCACAAGGGTCTATATAGTATAGGGATCATCTTTGGGGGACTGCACCTCACGGGGAATTCGCGAGGTGCCCATGAAAGGTATGCTTGCGCGGCCCGTCATGACCCCATAAGTGTGATGAGCATGACACCTCGACCAGCAAAGGTTCGCAGAAAGGAGGAAATCACCTTCTATGAGAAAGACGCAGTACGATTGCATCATCCCCATGACGATGCTCTCGTCATCACGCTCGAAATAGGGCAGTGTGAGGTTCACCGAATGCTGGTGGACAATGAAAGCGTCGTGAACATCTTGTTCCAGTGAGCTTTCGAAATGATGAAACTGGATGAGGCCGATTTGAAGCCTGCCTCTATCCCTCTATATGGTTTCACCAGGGATCACCTAATCCCCAAGGGAACGATCTCACTCCTGGTCACATTGGGTGACACCAATGAGGTGACTAAAATTACTGAGTTCTTAGTGGTGGACTGTCTGTCCGCTTTCAATGGCACCATAGGACAACCTTTACTAAAAAACTTCAAAGCAATCACCTCGATCTACCATTTAAAAATGAAGTTCCCCACCCCCATGGGGATAGGGGAAGTAAGTGGATCTCAACGTGCATCTCGCGACTACTATGTAAAGGCAGTGCAGATGGTGTGCAAGGGAAAAGACAGTCCACTTGGCATCCCTGAGCAGGCAATGGCGATCAGTCGGATCGAACCATAGCCTGGTCCAACTGAGGATAACATGGATCCTCGTATCTGAGAATGCTTATTTAGTGGGCCGATTGAGGACCTATCTGAAGTGTCAATCGATCAGAGCAAGTCGAGCTAAGCCGAGTGTTGAGAATTGGAAGTAATCTCAACCCCCAGCTCGCTAACAACCTGACCAACTTCCTCAAGGAAAATATCTACGTGTTCGCATGGACTCATGCCGACATGGTCAGGATCAGCCCGAGTATCATTTGCCATGCCCTAAATATCGATAGTGAGGTCAGGTCGTTCTGCCAAAAGAGAAAAGCAATGGATCCAAAGCGATATGCTGCCTTGAAAGTTAAGGTAGATAATGTCCTCCTAAACGAATCCATCCAGGAAGCACTCTACCTGAGTTGGGTTGCCAACCCGATTTTGGTAAAAAAGCCCAACGGCAAATGGCAAACTTGCGTTGACTTCACTGACCTCAACAAAACCTGTCCGAAAGACAGCTTTCCCTTGCCAAGAATCTACTAGCTTGTTGATGCCACCTCCAGGCACGAGCTTCTGAGTTTTATGGACGCCTACTCGGGATAAATCAGATTTTGATGTACGCGTCGGACGAAGAGCATACCTCCTTTGTTACAAATTGGGGGCTATATTGCTACAAGGTTATGCCCTTAAGCCTAAAAATACTACTGTAAATAGTTAGAAAGCGACCTCGTGTCCACATGTGTAATATTGGTGAGGTACGAAAAATTATAAGTGCTCACGAATGGATAAGGAAACGATCTCTTTATTTATTTGTAAAATAAAAATAAGTACATGTTTGCGAGCATAGAAACAACAATAAAAAGCAGAAGCCATCACTGGCCATCATCCCCAGGCCCCGGAGGTGCGACCTCGGTATCCCCAGGTTGGTCGTCAAACACCTGGTCGGCCGCTGGTTCCCACGAGATGTACTTCAAATGCTCATCTTCCGAATCAGGCCCTTGACCTTCCTCCTCGTCATCAGCCCTCGCCATGGAAGTGATGATCCTCTGGTAGTCGTCCGAGAGGTCAGTGAAGTCTATGTTGGGATTCTTTGGCCAAGGGCATAGATGGACTGGATCAACCAGTCGACAACCCTCCTTTCAATCTCCAACTCTTGTCGCTTCATCTCTTTGGTTAGCGAAATGACACGACCCTGGGAGAATTGGAGTTCAGCCTCGAGTGCCCACCTCTACTTTTCGGTGGTTTCCCACAAATGTGCTCTATCCTGCTCTGCTAGCAAGGCTCGCTCGGAGTTCGTTCATAGCTCTAGCTCTTTCTCGCTAGCCTCTTTGGTGAGTCTGGCCACTGTACTTTGGAGCTCTTTAACCTCATCTCCTCTCTTCTCCAACTCGGCCTTCTGGAAATCCACCGTGTGAAGCATAGCGTTCCTCTCAAATAAATATTGGTTCGCCTAGACGGTGGATAGGTTCTTCTTTGCTTGTGCGACTTTTAAGTCCCGCTTAAGCCGCACGTTCTCTTCTCTCAGCTCGACTAGCCCTCAACTGCCCCTAACAAAGTCTTCTGTTGGGCCAGGTGCATAGCGAGCAGAGACTGCAAAGCGAAAAGGGCAAAGGGTTAAATTCTTTTCCATTAAAAAGTAAGGAAATGTAAGAAAGTCCTCGACGAGGACAAACCATTTTACCTAACTTTGATGCTGGAAGGTCGTGGCACTCCAACAGGGTGAACATCACTGGCTGCAAATGCTCTGGGAATTGCCCCATGGAGTCCAACACGGGAGTGCCTATTCCGACCATAGGTGGCACCTCGCCCGCTGGTTCCTTGCTCGCTCTCCTCCCGGGATCTGCGACTTCCTCTTGCCTTATTGGCAGACCCTCAAGGGCAATGGTGATGCCGGTTGTGCCCTTGGGAGGTCCTCTCGAGCGAAAGGCCTGGTAAGGCTGTGACCTCCCGGGCTGAATGCCCAAACCCTCCGACTCGGACTCTGACTCTGACTCTGACTCTGACTCTTCAGCCCGAAGCTGTTTCCTNAAAATAATAAATAAATCAAAAAGAAAAAAGAAAAATAACATGTGATGAAAGATAGCATTAGTGGATGTAATCAATTAAAATTTGATTATGCAATGCCCCCTTAATTTTTAATTAATTATGTTTTGGCTATTGATCAACATCAATGTAGAAATTGACAAGAGGTAACCAGCCAGCACGTTTGGTAGATCATTTGGTCGGTGAACAAAGCCTCAGCCTCCACGTACGAAATCAATATAACTAAAATAAAGACACCCCTCCTGTTCCCGTTCCGAGTCTGAGTAATGACGTTACCCGATGAAATTACAAATACACCCTCAATTATTTATTGAGAAATTATAAATACACCCCAAATATCCATCGGTTCCACCCTGGATACTAAGCCAGGTCTTGGGTCCAATTCCTAAAGTGGTAGAACCGAACCCAAACCCAAACCCACATAGTGTCGGTTCCACCGAATTTGGAACTAAAATCGATCTTGTGAGGGTCAGTTCTAGGTAGGAACCAGAACCGATACTTTGGATACATATCGATTCCGGAACCGACATCTGGGCATGAATGTGTTATCAGAGGAGCTTCCGGAAGAACTTGGATTGCTTAGTGAGCTAGTTGTAATGTAAGTTTAAACTTTACAACTTGTTTTTGCTTGTTTTGAATTGATTGTTCTTATGTGATGTTATTTATTGATGCTTTTACTTTTGGTAGTGGAATTGGAACGAACAATTTCTCTGGTCCTCTGCCACCTGAGCTTGGAAATTTAACCAAATTAGAGAAACTGTAAGTTCTTATAGACTTTCAGTTTCATTTTCAATGCAAAATTGGAGAAAAGTTGCTACATAGTGATGGAATTATTGAAAATTCTTTACCTTGACAGATATATTGACAGTTCTGGAGTGAGTGGTGAAATTCCTTCAAGCTTTGCCAATATACAAAGCCTGGCTATAGTGTAAGAACTTTTCGACTATATTAATCTACTGATCGAAAACGAAAAGCATCAGGTCTTAAACAAGTTCTTTTGTTGTTCTCAGGTGGGCTTCAGACACTGAACGTACAGGAAAAATCCAGACTTTATAGGAACTAATTGGTCGAAGCTTAATGTCTTGTGAGAAAACTCTTATTTTTTCTTTTCATTTATTTCTTTCTCCATTACACTTAAATCTGCATTCTTCTCTGAATGTTGTACAGTTAAGCTCATAATTTTCTGGTTCTACACATTATTGCAGGAGGTTACAAGGAAACTCTTTTGAAGGGCCAATACCATCATCCTTTTCTGATCTGACTTCCCTGACAGAGTTGTGAGTGTTCCCCTGTCATGTTTGAATTTTACACTAATCAATGCTGAAAATCTCATAAAAATTGAAAATGCAGGAGAATAAGCGATTTGCCCAATGGGAGCTCGTCGTCCTTGGCATTCTTAAGGGATATGAATTCTTTAAGTACCCTGTAAGGCAACACTTTGGAATTTCTAATAGCATTTGCTGAATTTTTTAATCTTGAATATTGTTCGCCCATGTACTGCAGAGAGCTAAGGAATAACAACATTTCTGATACAATTCCATCCAATATGGGCGACTTCTAGAGTCTGCAGCATTTGTAAGTTTATTCCTTTTCTTTCCCTCCATTGTTAAATTGCTAGCTAGCTTCTTGATCTTATAATTGGATAATTCAATAAGTTTTCTTTAGGGATCTGAGTTTCAACAATAGAAGTGGACAAATTCCCAGCTCGCTTTTCAATTTGAGTTCGCTGACTCAACCTGTAATCTACCATCTCTGCTTTGTTGTATCAAACAATCATTTGTCTCCCAAAATGTACCCATATTGAAACATTTATTTTTGGATTTGTACTCAGGTTTCTGGATTTGTCTTCTCAATGTGTAAGTACTTTTGACATATTTGCATCAATCGTTTTGCAACATACCAAAATGGAATGGTCTACTGGTTAATATGTCAGCAATTTTAATAGTAACATGACAAGTTTTGATGGGAAATCTAGTTTGCTGTAAAAGTCTCTTGAGCAGAGAACTTAATAGTAAAAAATCAATGTGACTAGTACAATGCCTGAATTTCATACTTATAAGCAGTTGTATTGTGTAGCTAACCTTCTCCTCTGGCTTATGCTTTTAGAGATGCATTATATAATAATATGTTACGCCTGGAAAAGTAGGGCTGACGCAAAGACTTGTCAGCATGGGTGGTCAGAGCTTAGAAAAGTTCTACAACCGCTCAAATGTGGCCACGTCGCGTGATGACGCGAGCGGCATGCTCCTGCTAGTGTAGTAGGTGTGCACCAGGATGGCAAGCGGTTGGAAACAATCCACGTGTCCGATCCCTACACGAGTCGAGGAAATCACTCAGGCAGGTGAGCAATGGGACGCAGAGATGGATTTGCACGGCATCTACCACACTCGCAGATTTAGTAATCATTACTTTGGTTCATCCCACTATAAATAGAGGACTTCTCTCCCATTTGTGGGATTGGCTAATTTCACTCTAGAAAAGCTTACTCTCTCTCTCTCTCTCTCTCTCTCTCTTTTGTATTCTCAAAAATAAAGCTCAGCTCGCTGATCGTGACCTGGCTTCATTCATTAATACAATATCAGTGGACGTAGG